AATGATTATTCCAGAGAAACTATTAAACTAAAGAACATTTGGTACTGTAGCAGAAAAATAGCACAACTAATTTTCTGACAAATCAGTCTTAACATGACTAGCTGCACTAAAAAAAAAGCAAGTGCTTTTTAAAGAATTACTAAAAAGAGATCATACTAGCTGCCTTCATCCCATCCCCAATTAGTCTTGTAAATCAGGGACTGGGGAGAGAGAGGGAAAAGACAAAGGTGTCGGAATTTGCAAGAAACAAAAATTAAGCAATTATTTATTGATTGATTGATTTCATCCAGCTCATTCAGTGTCAGTAGAAACTTGGCCTGCAATAATCTTCAGGCATTTGTACACATGAAGGAGGCTCCACATGACCAAGGCCACATACCTTGCCCCACTCCACCCATTCATTCATTCATTCATTTTTCATTTATTACATTTATATACAGTGGTACCTCGGGTTAAGAACTTAATTCGTTCTGGAGGTCCGTTCTTAACCTGAAAGTGTTCTTAACCTGAAGCATCACTTTAACTAATGGAGCCTCCTGCTGCCGCCGCCGTGCGATTTCTGTTCTCATCCTGAAGCAAAGTTCTTAAGCTGAGGTACTATTTCTGGGTTAGCAGACATGCTAAATGCTCTTACTTCTACCATTTACTATATATTATTGGTACTAGTAGTTTTCCAGTCACTCCCTACCCATCACTTTGTGTGTGTGTGAGAGAGAGCATGTGGGCACACATACATATGAACCTAATCTTATTACGATTAGGTCAGCTTAGTTTCAAGTGCCTCTGCTGACCACAGTACTCAGGAGTCATGCATCAAATACTGTTATTGCTGAGACCATTGTGCTTCAAAATAAATGCTACTCATCAATGATTACATATATTAACCAAAATAATACTGTTCATAATTTCTTAACTCTCTATAACTCTTTGTTATAGCTAATGTCTACGAGTTCTCTTATCTTTAGGCGAAGACACTCTATTGCTGCTATTCTTCTTTTGCTTTAAGCAGCATTTGGTAATTGTCTACTGCCTGTCTCCCTGCTACCTAGACATCTTGTTGCGCTTAACAATTTCCTCCATGTTCTTCAAGAATTAAGATCACACCACTGCCTTTGAATTAATTCTTTGTCCTAAAATAGAGGACTGCTTCATCATGAACTTAGCAAAATGTGTGAGAGGTCACCAAGTCACTAATACATGCAGTTAATTATGCCCTAATTCATCCATAGCCCTGGGAAAGGCTCAGCACAGACACAAAATAGAGAAGAAAAAAACCTAGATAGTTTTCAGTTCTTTTGACCTGCCAGTGCAGAGGAGGACACGAACTGCATCATGTCCTTTGAAGACAAAGGAAGAGAAAGTAATAAATTTCCTTGGCTTCTTTCTCCAGCCTCCTCCTTCCCGCCTCATCTCTATCTTCCCAGACACAGGGCCTCACCTATGACTCTGTTTTGATGAAGACTAGAATTGCTGTGTGCTACAGCACTTGTCATTTTAAAAGGATAGCCATTTACACACTCTAGCTGAGAATATCCTCAAGAGAAGCATTTGCCAGTGTAAGTGAGTCTCTCATATACAGTCATACCTCATGTTACATTCCGCTCTTCTTATGGTCTTTCAGCTTACAAATGCTGCAAACCCGGAAGTATTTACTTCCAGGTTTGCTGCCCGCGCATGCGCAGATGCGATCTGTGTGCTTTGCGCATGTGCAGAAGTGCTCAATCGCACCATGCACATATGCGGAAGAGCACTCTAGTTGCGGACTTTTCAGGGTGCGAACGGCACCCTGAAATGGATTAAGTCCGCAACTAGAGGTACCACTGTATATCTACATCTATATCATCTGTATCTGTATCTGTATCTGTATCTGTATCTGTATCTGTATCTGTATCTATATCATCTATATCACAATATGATGGGTGCTCTGGTTATAGGTCTGGGGGGAAGTATGTTACAAACATACAGTGAATCAAATAGTATGTTTCAATTTAAAAATGCAATACCCTTCCTCTTTACACAAAATACTTCAGTAGACAACATTTTAGTTCAAAGAATGCTACAGCTGTTACCACAGCCTTCACAACTTATATAACACCTCCCTTGGTACAATTGCGGGACTGGGTACCAATATGTTTCTGGTCTCAATTCAAAGTGCTTGTGTAAAGCCTTACTCAGGACACCAATACTACAAGGATCACCTTGCCCCACATGAACCAACCGGGATGCTGTCTTCATCATGTGAGGCCCTTCCCTATGTATCTCCTCAAAGAGAGATGTGGACTATGGCAACACAGAAGAGGACCTTTTCATGTGGCTTCCCATTTGTGAAATCCTCTCTTCAGGAAGGCATGGCTGGTGCCATCATCATTATTTTTTAGGTGCCAGTTAAAAACCTTTTTACTCAACCAGGCCTTTGAAAACTGCACCTTTTATAAATTCATTCAGCCTGGCTTCAGGTCAGGTTGGGGACTGGTAGAATAAGAAAAATGGTCTTATAGAGGAATATGGTATCATTAGGTTTCTATACTTGTTTGTAGTCATTTTAAAAGTGTGTCAAATACTTTGGTCTAGAGAATCGCCCAGCTTTTGCTTGTATAAATAATCCAGTGTACAGCTTCGAACATTACTCATGTGGAATTCTCATAATATATATTCAAATAGCAGGTGCCTCTACTCCTATATACAATATCAGTAATTTTGTGCCACTTGAAAGATGAAAGGCTACAGCTAACTAATTCATTTTCTATTTTTCTATACATAGTGCATCCTTTCATTTACAAATTATTACCAAGTCCTGTATTGAATTTGTCACAGTCCTGAGGCAATTTCACATCCCAAGTTATGCTTCATACAAAGTTATGTAATCGTTAAAGTTTTGGTTTGTTTGTTTACCTCAAATACATGTGCATTTCTTCAGGCCCCAGTTACTACTTTAAGCCATTTGTAAGCAAAGATTGGATGAGAGGTTATTACGGAAATGGCTGGATGTGGGAAAAGTCACAACCACAAATATAAAGCCAACCATTTGGAAAGAGAGAGGGGGTACTTAGCACTTTTTGGATCAAAGCAGACAGGAATGGGTTAAACTAACCACACAACTAGCTTAATATGCATGTTGAGTCATGGATATTAGGTGTATAAAGCAGTATCTCAATTCATATGGTGGTGGGGTCAGCATATGTATTGTAGAGGAAGGGGGGGGGGAAGAGTAGCCCTGGGCTGCTACTATTAGAAATTTAAGACCACTACTACCAGAAGGCATAAAAAATTCAGCAGTCCACAGGGTTCTTCTTTCCTCCTCGCCCCTTAACTGCCAAAAAGTTCTGAAATTAACCTTTAATTTTCTTGGAGATAATTAGCTATTATCTTTCGAAAAAGCTTTGAAAGGTTAGACCACATTCTATTAGAATGTGGTTGAGACCACATGCTAGGCAAAACATATGACAATGTGAGAATGACTTTGATTACGTACAGTAGGCCAACTCTTGGCAGTTTTGAGTTCTCACTGAGCGTAGAGCTATGGAAATCAAAAGAGCCAGATGTGTTTTCAAAGGCTGCGTACAATTATGCTTTCCACTTCCAGTCAGAGGGCATTTGATTAGAAGCTTGTTTTGAAGTATTAACAAAATATCCAAATGTTGATGATTTTTCATGTTATTTTGAAGTTCAAGCACATTTTGTGCTAGAAGAGGCCAAGCTCGTGGGATAGGATATTCAAGGAGTTTCAAAGCCAGTACTGAGATCAGCTGCTTGTTAGCTCACAATTTAGTCAACGTAATCAGTCAAGTTATGGACTCCGTCCTCCAAATATGTAGCCAATTCATTCCACATTTTCAAGGCAGCAGTCCCATACACACTTATTTGAACACTCAACAAGATTTCCATGCAAATAATTGGCGGTCTTGATTTTTGCTGGGAGAATTCACGTATTAGCCTTCTTTCATGCAACAATGAATGACAATATTGTTACGATATAGAAGCAATGCGGCCGCGAGCTGGTAGCTTGAAAGCAAAACATAATGGGAATGTTGGGACTGTTCCGTGGGAAACAGAGGGACAGTCAATTCACAGTGCAGAGGGCACCGGAATTAGCTCAGAGTGTAATATGAGCTGTACAGGAAGTACAGGAGGAGTTTGTCTCTCAACTGCTGGAGCTTGAAGAGAGCAGTCATGATTTTTGTAACGCTGCAAAGACAGAAATAAAGGAATGTAAATACGTTTCTGTCTATCTCTTTCCCCTGCCTGGGGGGGCAGGAAAGAGGGGGGGTGTTCTCCTCACTCTGAGAAGGATCGCCTATCGCGACCTCTGCCTGGATCCTGCTGGGGAATGCAGACAGGGAGGTCAACAGGAGATCAAGCCGGGTGCCTGGAGAGTGGCCAGTTTCTCCTGATAAAGGCTTGATTCCCAACAAATATAACATCAGACTTGGGACAGCATTAAGAACATGAACTGGTTTTTCTTCCTGCAACTGAGGTACAAAACTTTGTTTCTTTTTAGACTCGTATCTTGCATGAAGTCCACAAAAATAGTTATTAAATTATCCAATTAAAGTAGATTTCAACTATTTTTGCATTTTGTCCCAGTTGTCTTGAGTAGAGTTGCTACTGAATATTGTCTGAAGTTCTTAGCAATTGTGGAGCTTCTGCTTTGGCAAAAGTTTTCATAAGAATAACAATAATTCTCAGGGTGTTTTGCAGACCCCTAAGCTACCACCTAAGCAAAATTAAATCTGAGAAGGAAATTCATGCTTGTTAAAAATATATGAAAGGTTTTGAGGGAGTTAAACTAGTTTTGATAAAACTAACACAAATTTGGTGGTGGGGGGTTGAGGGTTGTTTTGCACAACCTCTCTAATCTATATTTCTGTAGACTTGATTTCCCTTGTTTTTTCTATTCTATTTTTGCTTTAAATAACTGAAGAACTTCATCAGAATTTGTAAACTGGATTAATAATGCTTGACCTTTATTATACATGGGGTTTTTTTTTGTTTTTTTGTTTAAAGAAACACAAATCTCTCTGGGATGAGCTGAAACATTCCTTGGACACATTCTTGATGGATAACCTATTGATCTGGCTTTAAAAAAATTATTATTATTCCTCAAATCTTGTACACTACAACCTGTCACAATTGGCTGGCTTCCACTGGAGGATTTTTGCAGGAGGTTTGCATGCATATTGAACAGCTTTCTGCACCATTGAGAAACACTGTCAATGTAACCTGGATGATCAGTTTTCCATGGGTACTGGAAAGCATTTTAGGGTTCAGAAAGCTCTGACAGTCCACACAGAAATGAAGGATGGAACTAGATTCTTGTCTTGTTATACACAGGAACATCCACATTTTACACTCAATAAATTCTGGATCCAAACTTATATCTCATTTTCTTTTTCTTTTTTGGCTTCTACAGCTAAGGGCCATTTGATACAATTTGTACTTGACAAAAACATGTTGGTTAGTCCCGGCTTTTCAAAAACATGTCCTCCATTTTTTAACTAACTAGACTCTTTTTAACTAACTAGACTAAAACCAAACTGAAATATTAAATATAGCTCTGCTCAGAAGAACAATATGCAACTGAACTTTTACAAACAGGAAATGGTGATTGGCCAGGGAAATGGGCTAGGAGATGTATCTATTTGAAATCACTAATCAGAATACGCATGATCAAATGCAAACTTTTTTGGGGGGGGGTGTCTAATGTTGCCGTTCTATACATGATTACCCAGAGATAGAACTCAGTGAGGGAGAAATCTTGTTCAGAATCTGCACTCCCTGAAACAATGTATCAACCCTGAAATCCATCAAAATTCACACTTCTTTTAAATTTATCCAACCGTAAAATGTTTATATTAGGAGAAAGTGTGCATAAACATGCTTATATGAACTAAAATAACATACAAAAATGTATTTTATTGGGGGAAAGCACATGCAAATCATGCATATTAGGCGAAATTGCATATGTTATGAGAAATGCATACAAAAATACTGACAAAATTTCATGAGGACTTAAAAAGAACCACAGATTGATGCCAAAATGTGGTGAACTTAAAAATAGAGACATGAGAAACTGAGAGAAGCTTAAATTGATAAGATTTGTAGATTCCACATGAGAATCTGAGAGAAGCTTAAATTGATAAAATTTGTAGGTTCCTACTTCTGAGTATATACATATTAGTTTGCTCTGTTAGTGTACAAATATTATTGAAAATGAAATAGCGTTCAAACTTAGTGTTCCACTTTGCTCAAAAATTTGTAACATAAGTAGTCAATCAGTAAATATTAGTGGGATTGCATCCACTATATTCCCTGTATGATATAGACTTATACGTTTAGACTTATGTGATTTGTTTTTACGTGCAATGTCTTTCCTAATTTGCATAATGTATTGCAGCCTGAAAAAAGATCTGCTTAGTAAGTGGACTCACTTGTAAAAATATAATTTTTGTTGGCAGAGGAATTCATAGCACTGTAGCTATAGTTATGCGATAAATCACTTTATATTAAATGACTAATCAAACAAGCTGTTTAAGTTTGTAAGAGTATAGGTATAAATCAAATAAGCTGATTACTTAGGACACTACAGCTGCAATCATTTACACTTACTTGGAAGTAAGGCCTACTGAGCTCATGGATAAGACAGGATTGGGCTGCTCATTGCTGTACAAGGGAATCATACCAGAAGTAATTATCATCAGTCTCAAAATACCATTGATTTGATTCAGATAAACCATGCAGCAAATTGTATCTGATGATTCAAAACTGCCTGGCATTACTGATTACATGATGTTGTTCCTCATCTCTTTCCTCCCATAGCAACAAAGGCCAGGATACACCCCTACCTAGGAACACAAAGCAGGTTGCAATCTGGAGCACGAATGGAATTTAAATTGCTGCTTTCCAAGCTATTTAGTTTCACCTCTCTCTCTCTCTCTCTCTCTCTCTCTCTCTCTCTCTCTCCATCTCTCTCTGTCTCATTCTCTCCTCTTTATGGTATAGCAATGGATAAAAATGATGACTTTCCGAGAGGTATTTTGCAGATTTTGCTCTAGATCGTCCCAACTAAGGGATGGTCTTTTGTTGTAGAAATGTTTCACATTGGCAACTGAATGGCAAGTTACTTCTCATTGCACAGTAATACTTGTCAAACCCAACAATTTACATAACCCAGAATCAGGTTTGGGCTGCTGAGGTGGGTGCTGATTATTTTTATTATTATTATTAATTTTTATTGCTCTTTATGTGTGCTGATTGATTTGCCTCACTGCACTAATGAACCATCCACTATTGCCTCCATCTTGTCAAGATTGCTTTCAACCAGACCTACTCAATATTGCAGCACTTTACAGTTTATTATGCATAAATATAAGAAAAACTTTAAATGTAAGAAAAGTAAGAAAAAAATTGCCATTGATTATTGGCCTTCCCTCAGCCTCTTTGCTACTATGAAATATGATTTTACAAAAATGACAGTTGCTTCGCAGATTAATTGGGCAATGCAACATTAATCATTGCACATTTTCCTCATTCTAAACCTGTGGAGGTTTTGATCTGGTGCCAATGACAAGGAGCCCTCTAAGGTATGTTAGGACAAAGCTATGGTACTTAGACAACTCTATAAATGTGGCTTGAGCTGTGCAGCAGATAGAAGAGAGGTGGAGTGTTTGCAATAGTCTCTCAGTGACTATTGCTACCATGTTCTACATCAGGGGTCAGCAAACTTTTTCAGCAGGGGGCTGGTCCACAGTCTCTCAGACCTTGCGGGAGGCCGGACTATATTTTGAGGGGGGAAATGAACAAATTCCTATGCCCCACAAATAACCCAGAGATGCATTTTAAATAAAAGCACACATTCTACTCATGTAAAAACATCAGGCAGGCCCCACAAATAACCCAGAGATGCATTTAAAGTAAAATGACACATTCCACTCATGTAAAAACACGCTAATTCCCAGACTATCCATGGGACAGATTGAGAAGGCTATTGGGCCGGATCCAGCCCCTGGGCCTTAGTTTGCCTACCCATGTTCCACATCATGATGAAATTGCCCCTGAAGACAGTTATTAGGACTCATTGTTATTATGACACAATGTAGTGGGATCCATATATATATATATATATATAATCACAGTGACAATATATTAGTTTCAGCAGCTGTTCCTGAAAGTACAGGAAAAAGTTATATATCAGAGAAGGTTCCTGCACAATGAATTGAGAACATATTTATGCACTTACTGGAGACAAGTAAATCACACTATTTCCAGTCAATGTCACTTTCACATGTGTTCACCCATAAGTCTGTTTCCCCGGCACATTTCTATTTCAATCTGCCATTAAACACACAGGCACAAATCTGCATGAAATTTCACATTTCAATACATATTTATACCCAGCCCCGGCCTAAATCTTTTTCTCTTTTAAAAACAATGCTTTAATAAATAGTGCAATGGAAAGAACTCATTTCAGTGTGAACTCGGCATGTCTTAGGACAGGGGTGGGGAAGAGGACTGGATTCAGAGTTCCTCCACCCACTGTGGGTCACTTTGACAGTTGGATGAGGCCACACCTACCCGTCAGTCATGGGCATCATGATGACAGCAGGTGACTCCTCAAAGAAAGGAATCGGGTGTGTGCTATAACTAAATTCATATGTGACAAACAGGCCCAGGAGAGGTGGATATGGTTCAGCTAAAATGGGCTGCCTGGCCAACTTCTGAAGCCTTGTTGACCTGATTAGGTTTTTGCGCCAGACGTTCCGCATGAGTGGATTAGAGCATAGCAGATAAATCGCCTTTGGTCCCCTTGCATATCTTGTTTCCAGCTATGTTGCAAATGGTTTATTTTTCAATAATAAAAAATTGTTTGGGGTTGTACTATGCAACCACATGCATAGTAGAAAATACTGCACACAGTGCAAAATGGAAGTCCATAACCACAGAGGTGCCATTTGTGAGAAACTAACCTCTTCAAGGCTATTCTTTAAAACTAAGCATTTATCCCTACCTGCACATCTTTTGACTGAACTCAGTCCACCAATAAATAATTGCTGCTTGCAAGTATAAGGATATAAGACAGCATGATTTTCCTGTCTACCTTGTATTTGTCATGCACAGTGCTGTTTCCATGTTCACTAGAGTTTGGAATTCCATTTTAAAAAATGTTGCTTGCCTTGCTGTCTGCTGACGCCAAACAAAATGTAATTAATTATGTAATTAATTATGTAACCATTAAATGATGCTGCGCCATTCATTTCAATGGAAGGAAGCATGAGGAAAACAGGAAACATTTGCAGACTTAAAAAATGACAGTAAATACCAGTCATATTTGCTTGCCTGATTTCCCTTCCAGGTTGAGAATGAACATGCAAACTGAAATGATTTCTGGTACCAGTTCCAAATATGCCAGAATTCTCTACCATCTCTGCTTGTAAAGCAAAGTTGTGCATAATTTCCCACAACCTTCCACAGAGCTAAGTGGCCCATCTGTGCTGCTTACCCGGTGTGTTGTGTTGACTACTGTGAATAACTATGGAAGGGGACTAGCAATCTAAGTATAAAATTGAATTTCACAACTACTTGTTAAATTCCTATATTGAGAGGCATTGTTATTTTTAAATAAAGAATGATGAGCATTGGAATTCTTATCTGACAATTCAGGTTATATGTATATATGCTTTGAATAAAATGTCTGTAGCATTGTGACTAAACCACTTATCTCACCGAAGTCAACAGACTCACCAGTGTTTTGAGTGGATTTGATGACACTTTCTATCTCTCAGAAGAAAATTAAAAGTAGTTTCCATTTATCTTCATCATTTATGATGATTTACAGCAGAGGTTGTTCATCAGCTGTCTTTGCAAAGCTCAATCACTCTTTTTCAATTTTCTAAATTATCTCCCCCTCCCTTAGGGAACTCTAACTGGAATGTGAGTTACCTCCATTAAGTTTTCACCAGGGCCAAAGAAACAACTTAATGAACTCATTAAATCATCCAAATTATCTTTGCTAAATTGCCAATTGCAATTACTGTACTTCCCAACAACTCAGAATTGCTAAGGGTGAGATGTAGCACTTCTAAGGTTTTTTTTTCCCCCACAAGAAAAAAAAAAATCCTGAGAAATATCTGAACGCACCTGGCAATTTAAATTACTATATTACAGCAGAAACAAACAATTTTGTTTAGTATTTTGTACACAAAATTCATGAACATTGGTGAGATACTCAGGCATGCATTCACCCATTTGAAGATCTCGCCTCTATTTTGTGGGAAGCATAGAGGGTCTTGTCCTCATTAACAACAAAACCAGAGTTATAGAAATCCATGCTTTTGCTTTTCAATCCCTTAGCAGAGGGGCACAGAACCCTCTCTTCAGTCTTCTGTGACAACCAGAAAGGCAAAATTGGGACAAAGAAGCAGTGGTGGAGCTTCATGCTCTGGCACCGGGGGTGTGTGGAGAGCAGGTGGGGCGGGGCTGGCGCATGTCTTGGGGCGGGGCGCACCACCCACAGGGGTGTGGCGCATATCCTGGGGGTGTGGCGCGCCACCAGTGGGGGTGTAGCACCCAGCGTGGGCAGGGGGCAGCCACGATGGCACCCTGCTGGTATTGTGCTGCCAGGGGCAGTGTGCTCCCCCCACACTCCTCTTCCTCCGTCGGTGCAAAGAAGATGTCTCCTTTTCACTATGCTCTCTGCAGTTAATGAAGTACTTAGGCGAATTAAGGAATAGTTTCTAGAGCTGAGTGAAAATGACCCCCCAGATTGGCGAACCAATTTGCTGGTGGCAGAATGTGGATATGAATGAATTCTGCCAAATATTATTCTGGTGGGGGGCGAGGCAGATATATCCAACAGTTTAAATAGAAAATTATCAGAAAAAAAAATTCTTGTGAGAAATTTAAGCTCCGTTAATGTTTACTGAAGCTACATTGTAGTTTGTTCATTATGGTGGAACGAAGCAATGAGGTATGAGCCAAGCCCTCGGTTGGATCCACGGTTGCACTAAAAATTACCTGCCCTCTTTGTGTGTAGTGAAATTAGGCAAACCATTTAAGGGAGACTCCTAAAAAAGGTATTATTTAAATCTACTAGAAAATTAGCTTTTGATAAAGTTCCATCCTGTAGTAATTTCTCTCCCTTACCTTTCAGCTTTGGCAGAAAGTAGGAGAAGCAGAAAGGCAGTGAAAACCTCTCTCCGCATGTCACAAGCACATGTGGAGCGAAGAAAACACCACACGTTTGGCAAGTTTAAAATTGGTTTACTCTTACAAACTCTCTAAAGGTCAGGTTCCTGTGCTTTGCCATACAATAGTCAGAGAGCACAGGCAGTAAAGCTTGACTTAGTTACAGAGGTGAACGTTCCTAAATTATTGGCATAAGAACTCAAGAAAGGCTTATTAGATACATGTGAGCTTGGAGAAACCAGCTCACACATTGAACTTCTCAGGTAGACTGAGGTACAGTAGGCTTGATTACCTTCCTCCCAAGGTAAGGGAGAGTGACCCAGCTAAGCCTGGCAGAACAGCTTACTCTACAGCAGTAACCCCTTAATGTATCAATTAAAATTAAGCATGTTGGTTATAGGAGGCTGGTTATCCCATAGAGAACCCATCAGTGATGAAACTAGAGAAGAACTTTATCTTCTCTCTTAAACACATACAGAAGAGACCTAGGAAACTCTTGACTCTGAGATACAATGATGTCCATTGCTACCTAATGAGTCAACTGTATAATGACATTATCCACACATTTTACACTGATGTTTCTTGACAGCTAGGGAAACCCAGCCCTGCAAAGGTGCTGGAAAACCACCAAAGAAAATAGAACAGATAACAAAAACAGGGAAGTTAAACCACATCTTTTGAATTGGCTGTATTCACACCAGAATGACATAAACAGTTTTTTATAGTAGCAATTCTTTGTAACATTTTTTTATAATTAAAATATTAGTGGGGGTTTTTTTTTAGTTCTGCATATTTGTGCAATTTGTGCTCTTTGGATCACCCATAAAGGCTTCAATTACTTGTAATAAATTGGTAATTTGATTGTGCTATTTAGAAAGTATCATGAGTAGCTAAATTCCTACATTCTTACATGCTTCATAGCAAGTGTTTGGCAACATTAAAAGATGAGGAGAGACTGCCAATAATTAATTTGTTCATGCTGCCTAATCTATCTTTCCACTGAAATGTATCCTAAATTAAAGTCTAGGCTGTATTATCTTTAGCTTTCAGATTGGAGACATGTTATGCTCTACAGATAACAATGAAAGTTGACAACTATACAGTTTTCAGATAGATGTGAATATTTATGCTTTTCTCTCATCAGTATCAGTAAAAGGATGGCAGTAAACAAATAAAGTGCATAGGCTATTATTATTATTATTATTATTATTATTATTATAAAAAACCTACCCAAACTATATCTCTAGTGTTTTAACTACAAATTCTTTTTTTGAAATTGTATATCTTTTTTCCAAATTATTAACTCATCATGTAGTTAAATGCACACAGCCCTTGAAGTTGATTACATTCTCACCCTTATATAACAAATCTTTAGCTTAAAAAAATACTATAGAGCTCTCTTGACAGATAAGGTTGTGGCTTTGTCCACAGCAGAGCAAATTGTGATATTTTACTTGAAGCCATTTCTTTAAAAATATTGTCCATCTGCTGTTTATTTCAGTTTGCTTTGCTTTCTGTAAACAAAAAGCTAAAGTTCCCATGAATAATTGCAGGTATACTTCAGGTAAACCTTAGGAGGAAAGGCTTGACACAAGTATTACATATAACTTTGTGAATTCATATTTTAAGTATGAACAATTCTCCAGTAAGACATATAAGACATTTATATAAATATAAATGTTGTGCAGATAGGAAAATACTGAAGAGTGTGAGAACACATTTGTGCGGACCACACTGCATATAACAGAAGAAGGATTACTGTGTGTCAAGAACACCTATAGCTCTCACATCTCTGCAGAATCTCACAGGGGTGTGTCATACATAGTTTCAACTGCCCTGAAAATCCTTAAGCCATCATGCAGAGTCCCAAATTCCCATTGTTGTTGAGGTACGTTATCTGGGAATGGCTTAATAATTGGGGAAATGGAGGAAAGAGAGAGTTGCTGACTAAGGCCACTCCCTCTTTCTCTGTCACCTCCTTTGCCACTTCTCCTGGGAGGGTATGCACATATGACAACTGTCAGCATCCATCATAATGACACACAACTGGGCACTAAGGCATAAGTGGTCTGAAACCCCATAAGCTAAGGAATGTGGAGAACCCGGAGAACAAGCAACAGTTGAGAAACTGACCTTAAATTGGATGACTTTGGTGACTGCCAAAGGTTCGGTCATTTCTGCAATGGCACTAGATTGCAAAATTCCCTCCTTAGGGAAATCCATTTCCTTTGCACCTTTAAATGAGCTTTAAAAACATTTTAATTCAGGAAGATTACCTTTATAGAACAACACTTTTAGTTGTGTTGTTTTATTATTTATTGTGGTTGCATTATGATATTATGAGAGTTAAAATAATTTGTAAACCATGTTATAAAAGATCAAGGAAACTGAAAAGTCCAATAACAACAGCAACAACTATAACAGCAGCAGCTTACTCAACAGAGAGTTTTCACAGTGCATCATAGGCGGTGCGCTGATTAAATACAAGCTGCTTCCAGCCAGCTTTGGTTAGTGGAGCAATAACCCTCTGCTGGCAGTGATAGGATTGAGATGGCTGAGTGAGAGCACCCCACTCTAAATTCAGTTAGCTACGTAGTCATTTTCTTTGACTGAACTGGTGACCCAGCTCTTCAAAAATATTTTAGAAACTGATTACAATTTCTCCAGGAATGAAGTGGAACCATGCAACATACATTTTTGTGTTTACCTCCATATGAATGGAAGCAAAGTTGACAGCCAGGGCATCACAGATCCACAGACAAATAAAGAAACTGACAATATCCCAAAGCATTTGTGTAGTTAGTGATTTTTTTCAGTACAAAAGAAGGAAATGAACCTACCACTTACAAAAAAGGTTAAATAAAGAAGATCACTACTATAAGAAGAGTGCTTGCTGGGCAACCCTCCCTCCGTTTTATTCTTTCATAAAGGTAATGAGATTTTCACAGAAATAAGGGGGCGTAATCTGCAGAAAGTATAGAAAGTGAGGGGGCACCAAAGTTGCCTTATACTGAATCAGACATTCGTCAATCTAGCTAAGTATTGTCTACACCGACTGACAGCTGCACTCCAGGATTTTATCACATTTACCCATATTTTTGTTAATATTGCTGTACTAATAAGTACAGCGATAACAAAGCTGAGACATACAAAAATAGTCTTTCAAGCAAGCCCCACCCCACTATATATCTGTTTTTGTGACGCTAACCTCAGTAAAAAAAAAGAAAATTAGCATATATGAATTATTTATATAATAAATAACTGACGCAAAATAGCTTAAATTCAAGAAAATCAACTCACTGCCATCTGCTGCTTTTGCTCATCACGAAAACATCAGAACATTTTGCACACGATTTAACTGCAAACGTAACATATGTCAATCAAAAAAGATTTCTAGTTACCACTGTACTATGAATTCAACAGTACATTTCCCCAAAGGCTATTGCTTTACACCTCTGTCCGTAGTGCAAGTATGTGTCAAATTGTACTTTCATGAATTCCTTACTTTTCCTTCTAGGAAAAACAAAAACAAAACAAAACAAGAAACTCCACAAACCTCCCATGGTTCTTGCAATACTCCCCCTTTACATAGAATATTTCCCACCTACGCAGCATATTTTTCCCCTAATTTGTCATTCATATCAAATGTTCTCAAGCTAGGCAAAAAGGAGTAGAGAAAAAAGTAGTTGAATGAATTATAAGACAAGATCAAAGGGAATAAGCATCTTAAACTGAAACTCATGGGTAAGAAGTCACTTAACTTCATAAATATCAGTTACACTCAAGTAGCCTTTATTCTCTTTCAGCAACCTTAGCATTCCCAAAGGAGCAGTGCCTTTCTATCTTCTGTTCTGCATTCTTCCTCAGTCAATAAGGTCATTACCCACAGAGCAGGCATCCCGTCAGTGTCTATTAGACTTCTTCAATTTCAGTTCAGCATTTGAGCAGTACGGCATAATGCAAGCTCCTTGAAACGATGCCAAAAGATACCCAAATGGCAAACATTCTCAGAAAAATTACAGGTAAGAGCACCGTCGTGTGTAGCCATTAGATGATATTAACACCACACTGCACAACAGGCATTTCATTTTGACAGCTGCCCAGTGATATGGCATATCAATGTCATTGGTTTTGCAGTAAAGATCGGAATTAATTAGAAGAGTCTAAGCAGAGAATAGACAGATATTTCTTAATAAACTGACAAAAAAAAAATCCCTGAGAACTTAATGAGGCAATCCAAAAGGACAAACTGTCTCAGAACACTCTATTTTATTAACCGAGGATGGTATTTTGAGCCATAAAGCAGCTCATGCACAAGTCATTAGATGTATTTGACAGGTGGAATACCAATGCAGCTCACTGGACTACAAACAGAAGATGAATAACCTGTGGCCCTCCAGAAGTTGGTGGACTGCCCTCCCCATCCTTACTGATTATTGACCTTTCTAAGGTTGCTGCGAACTGAATTCCAACAACTGCTGGAGGGCCGTAGATCACCCACCACTAGGTTATTGCACGTGTATGAGTAGTGTGCATTGATCACAGAATTCAGTTCAGATCCAGATTCAGCATTCAACTTGGTTCAATGTATGTCATGGGCTGCCCAATGTGACTCATTGTCTGAGTCCACTTCATTTCCCCTCCTCCCATTAGTTATAGGGAAATAATAATAATAATAATAATAATAATAATAATAATAATAAATAAATAAATAAAATGGCTGTAACTTTTTTCCTTTTGATATAAGTGGATAAAATTTGCCTACTAGTCCCTACATTGTGGATACAGCCTGCTATATTACAAGCAAATAGGTATAAAGTCTTTTGCCATATATGCTCTTGAATTTAGATTTCTTTAAAATGTGCCGAAGAGGATGAATTTGCAAGCAAGGTCACCCTCCTGAGGTAACAAATTCTGCAAATTTCAGAATGATAGCTGCAGTAATTTTTTTCTGCAAGGGCAGCCTTTACAGTTTTTTTGGGAGGTTGGTTAAAACAGGATTCACTAATCTCTATTAATGTTTTACAATCAAATAGTATAAAAATAGCATATACGAGAGAAAGAAAACCTGCAGATGGCTGCAGATCTAGAGGCCTTTGTGCTGGGTATTTACAAGCTTGACCTAACCGTTACAATGGAGCTGTCCCAGCAATTTCTGCCCTCCCTAACCTGACATCTGTCTTAAGTTTAGAGAAGTAACATCCCAAAGCACTGGGGATGGTGAGCAGTGGAAATCTTTATTCTCTTTGATAACAACCTAGACGTGTTAGTAGTCAAGGACGCCCCTACCCCTCATGATCCTAGGGTTTTCCCTTGAACTTGAGATGAAAAAGCTACCTCTCTGCCCACATCCTGCCCTTTACGGTTTATTCTTAGATACATACAGTTGTCCTCATCTTTTTGTTTCTTGATGTCTGTATCACTGATGCATAAAGCACTCTAGGATCTTTGCTTCAACTTGTAGAAGCCCAATATCCCTCTGAGGAATCCTTTCTAAATCCATTATTTAGGATTTCTATACCTCTTAATTATCTGCATTTCTAAGCAGTGTACATAGCTCCCACACCAAAAGTTCCCATTCCCCACCCAGTGTTTTTAATTTTATTATTGTCACATAGGTAAAGGTAAAGGGACCCCTGACCATCAGGTCCAGTCGTGGCCGACTCTGGGGTTGCAGTGCTCATCTCGCTTTATTGGCTGAGGGAGCCGGCATACAGCTTCCGGGTCATGTGGCCAGCATGACTAAGCCACTTCTGGCGAACCAGAGCAGCGCACGGAAACGCCGTTTACCTTCCTGCTGGAGCGGTACCTATTTATCTACTTGCACTTTGACATGCTTTCGTTTTAATTAATATTTATTAAGTTTTCAAAGAATAACAACAAAAATTTCCAAAAAAATTGAAAATACAAAAAGCAAAAATGATAAAGAAATAAAAAAGAAAAAAACCAACCATAAAGAAAAAAAGAAAAAAAGAAAAACAAAAGTATAAAATCATTTACGATCTCTATTAACTTCCTTTCTAGACTTCCTCCTCCTCCCCTCTCTTGTTTCTTAATTTTTAATTTTTACAGCAAATCCTTTCTGTTTTTTCATAACATTCTATCATTACATTTCCTTATTCTATTTTCCCTCTTGTCATATAAAAACTTTAAAACTCAAAGCTTATATTCAGTATTTACCAAATTCTTACATCATTACCTTTTTGCAAATCATTTACCAATCCTTACTTAAGCCATATAGTTTCATTCAACATCTTTCAAACATTTATGAACGTTCCCAATATTGAAAAATAGAAAAATAAAATAAGATAATAAGTCAGACACAATCCAGTCAACTTCCAGCGCCCCCTCCCCTGGACCCGGGATTGTCAGTCCTTTTAACCTCAATAGTCCGGCTCCTTAACCTGGTTGTCTCGTGTCCGAGGCCCTCAAATCTCTTTCTTGCCCCTTTCGCAGCTCTTCTTGATGTTTCCCTTTCAGTCGTGGGTACTCCAGCAGAAAGATACTTTTGACCCTTTGCAACAAGTCCATCCCATGCCCATTGTCCAAGCCAGACAGCAGATAATACCACTTCAAGTTTCCTTGAAACTTGGAGGCTCCGACTACTCCAATCCTCTGATGGCCCATCACCAGACTCGGAAAGTCCAGATAACCATATAAACCATCCCCCCATTTCCAAATCTAACCACATTTCATCTTTCCGAATCTGATTTATGCCAAGTTCATTTATCAAGTTCAAAGGCTGATCCTGCCGGTCCAAAGGTCCCTCCATCTCTGAAGCCTCCATCACTACAGCAGGTTCATATACTTGTAGATATTTTAACTGAGTTCCATTTACTTGCTGCTGTGCTCTGGTAACTTCCGTCATCAAGGTCATCTCCTGACGCATCTGGTCCAGCTGGGCACTTAGTTTTGAAAAACCTTCCAGGAACATTTGTTCAAGCCTTTGTACAAGCATTGTCCTTCAGGGTCAAAGAAAATTCTTTCCCACGATTATAGTCCTTCACTTTTAAGCTCTCTGCGTTGCAGTTTCACTAAATCCCACTAGAGGGAAAACCTTTTTTTTTCCCTTTTTTTTTATAACGGAGAAAATCATCAGCAACAGTCTTTCTTTTCCAGATACACTTTATCCAAAGTTCCCCCTTCAAAATTCAAGAGGCAACAGTAGAGTCACAATGTTACCCGTCTTTTAACGATCTGTCGAGCTGGACAAGCTTCACAGCGTCAGTTCTGACAGCCCGCTCCTGGTTCAGGGCGGTGGAAAATTACTTTGTTTTAAACTCACTTCCGCAGGGTTATAAAGTCCAAAACAACCCCTTCTTCTCCTGCAGTCAAAGGGGGGGTTCAGAAATCTTAGGTGTTGAATTCTAGTTCTCTCAGAATTTAATTTTCAAGCTTTAGTATATTTTGTCTTTGCTTTCTTCACGTAACAAAAGAACGGAAGGTTGACTTCCTGCTTAGACCTTCTCATTCCAAGTCCCAATTAAATTCAATTTCAAGTCCAATTTATTTATTTATTCACCAGTCTTAAAAGTAATTCAGCTCTTCCAAGATCAGGTACTCACGGATAGATGTTTTAGATGCCAAATTGTCCCAGGAAAAGGGCAGCGCTCTCCGGAAACGGCAGTGCGGCTTTGCTGCACGAAAGAAGCAGTCGACTCACAGCACCACGCACCTCCCACTCCGGAGCCCGTTACCGGGCTCCTGGCACAAGGGAGAGAGCGCTCACGGTGCCCGCTGAGTCCCACGTCCACAGGCTTCATCCGCCTGTGGGTTTTAAGGGTCCCCGCTGCGCCGTAGCGGTAGGACCCAAGCTTCCGTGCAGCGGGTTCCCTTCAACTTGAAGGGAATTCCGCCATTTTCCGGAGGCGCCACCCCGGAAGTCCGCACTTTGACATGCTTTCGAACTGCTAGGTGGACAGGAGCTGGGCCGAGCAATGGGAGCTCACCCCGTCGTGGGGATTTGAACCGCCGACCTTATGATCGGCAAGTCCTAGGCTCTGTGGTTTAACCCACTGTACCACCCGCATCCCTATTATTGTCACATAGAACTATAGAATTGTAGAGTTGGAAGGGACTCCAAGAGTCATCTAGTCCAAGCTCATGCAATGCAGGTATGCTGCCCACAGCCATCCCTGGGTGGGCTCGAACCACCAACCCTCTGGTTAACAGCCAGAAACACTGCGCCACGTGCACTCTTTCATATGACCATCTTGGCATTGTGCGCAGGCAGGGAAAGGCGGAGCATTGTCCACTCTAGGAAGTCATGCAGATCTCTCATTCATTCATAACGCTGGGAGGAACAGGTGAGCAGAAGGATCAGATGGGCCGGACTCGTCTGTTTTCACCACAACTTGGCACATAGGGATCCAAATAAAAAAGGACACACAGGATAGATTGTATTCAACATAGTGCTTTGTGAGCATGCGATTACTTCCACTATACAACAGGACTTCCCACCCTCTCCTCTACCTCCAGGGCATGTCCCAAAATTGTTCTGTCCCGTTCCCCCCACCACAAACTTCCAGAGCAGATTTAGGGACATGAATACATGCAGCATACATGGAGGGAGGTGACAGGGGAGCATGCCCGTTACACTAACTGAAGTCAATCTTTTCGCACATTGTTTTTAGTTGAATGCTGCCTGATGTGTCTGAGTGAAAAAATGCAAGAATCAAGAGCCTTGCAGTGCTTTGGAGTATACATGCATAGTATTCAAATGTTGTTCAGGGCTTGGTTTTTTTTGTTTGTTTCCAAATCACCTGTCACACATTTTACAACAACTGAATTGGGTCATGGGGCGATGGGGTAGTGGGGACACCTCTGATGATTTGCAGCCATTTTGTGTTTTTTCTATATGATTAGTTGCTAATGAAGTCCCAGAAGTAGACTCAGAAAATAGACTAATAGTGTGACTGAGATACTTGATTGAAAGGGAGACTATTGCTTGAAACCATTTGAAATAATGTGGCAATTGTTTAAAGTAAGCATTGTTTGAATTAACTTCTCAAGTAGGGCACTGAATGCCAACATTTGAATTTAGTATCTACTTGAGCCACTTGAACAGATTCTTAACTTTTCTCTGGACAGTCACCAGACTAAATGAAAGGTCTCTTCAGGCATAATAGATCCCCTGGGTGCCACTCTCATGAATCTTGACAAGGATTTTATACTGTTTATCCAGGCAGCATCGTATGTTTCCCACTCTTTTCTGCTGACGGACTTACATTTTCAGTGCTCTTTATTCCCACAGCCCTCTTTCCCCCCCACTCGGAACGAATATAATTCACTTTAATAGATTTCTGCATAGTGTTTCAGAGATATGCATATCTCTGCTATTAAAAGTATTATGGCTTAAGGGAACAACGAGGCTGTAACCTGAATGACAGGACATTCAATGGATCTGTTGTTGCTGAAAAGCCCTGGGACGCTTTTAAAGAAGTAGCAGACATAATTAGTCCACATACAGATTCAACTGAAGTATAGCAACTAATTAAAATGAAAATGGTAATGGCAGCTGCAATTGCAGAACTTTTAAGCCCTTTTAAAAAGTTAACAGAACACAAAATACTAATTTTAAGAAACTGTATTCCCATCATGAGCCAGTACGGTATTTTTTATTTTTCCCTAGGATCTGAGACAGTAATGCAATTTTTAAATTTACGAAATCCCCTTAGACCTTGCGGTTGTTTGAATGGAAGCTTATGTTAATTTTTTAACAATATAACAGATTTGCAACATCTGTCTTTTGGCAGTCACTGTAGTTTTAATTATGAGAAACAGTGAAACTTCCAAATACAGAAAAATAAATACAAGGTTTTTTTGTTTTTGTTTTTAAATCCAATTTTCAAATATTCCAAAATTCATTACCTGTACATGCCAACAAATTTGTTAAAATAGTTTGAAGATGTTCAGTACTTTGGCCTTTCTTTTATTTATTCTTATTTATTTATATACCGCTTGATTGCAAAGATGGCTGATAAGCAGTTTCTAGGAGCATGAAAGAGTCACACTCTCTTTCCCTAACATGTACTGGCACCTGTCCCACTGGGAAATGGGACATCATCCCATCAGTTCCTACGTTATCAAGGATCCTTTATCACCAAATGCAAAATGGCATCCTGCAATAATGAAGGTACTGGAGTCCGAGTCTTGCATACCAGAAATGGTAGATTGCCCTCACAGCCTCTTATTCACCAGAGAGATCTCTGGCATGCTCTTCCATTTCATGAAAGAACAAATTCCAGCTGACTGTGTGATGTGCAATGTGACTTTCTGATACAGTATCCTCAGTCTATTGTCAGTAGATGGGATTCATCCCCAGAATTTCTGGTCAACAGTGGACCATTTTACTAGTCTGTGTACCTGACTCTGTTAACCATTGGTGCTGGGCCTACCATCTTCTTTTATTCAAGTCACTATATGCGCCACCTATCCTTTCCTTAGTTCCTATACCTTAGTTCACAGATTTCTCTGCCTGTAACTACCATTTCCCCATTTGACTTCCCAGACCTTAATTTTCTTGCTTGGCCATTCAGAGACTCCAGTTGTAAGATTTGTGTGAGTGTTTTTTTGGCCAGTGAAACAGACCTTTCATTTCTTTTTAGAAGCTGTAGTGAATGCGATCATTCCATTGCTTTCATTTTGCCGCTTGGTACCTTGGCTGTTAAGATCCCATAAGCTCAGCCAAAGTGCAGTGGAGACTTACAGAGTCAGATGGGTTGCAAACAGTAATTAGTTATATATAAATTAGAGCTGGAACAATCATTGGAACTTTGGGAAATTTGCTCCCAATTTTTTTTGGGAAGATGGAGTCATGATGAAAGAGGGAGTAGAGATGAATTTTGAGGGAGCACAAAACTCACTCACATGACTTGGCCACATTCCAAGGGGCTTTCTTGGGCTGGGGAAATGTCCTCCCAAAAGACATGTCATTCTGGGAACAATATAGGGATGTATTATTGTTTTGATGGCACTGTGGGGAATAAAAAATGGCATTCCACATCACTGAGGAACTAAAATGAGCATTGTTACATTTCAAGTCCCCACCCTTGAGATCTGCACTCCCCACACACAATAGCCAAAATGCTATTTTGTCACACGCAATGTGAGTGGTGAAATAGGGGCGTTTCAGTTCAGCCCTGTTCCATAGATGTATCCTGCCTTACTCTTTTCTAGAATTAAATACGGGTTATGATTATTTTATGGAATGTTAACTTTTATAGTACAATGATAACTATAAAGAACTAAAATGCAATAGAATAAGTGCACTATTTTTGCGATGCATGCATTTTAAAAAGGGCCAAACCTTTGGTTTTACCTTTTTCGTATTTTAAATACTGAATTTACATTTTGATTCCAAGTTATTACTGTATTCTGCTCAGGCTTGGCAGTAAGTGATGTGACATGAATGTACAATTCTGAAGCAGAGAGGGGGGAAAACTTTGAGGAGAAACCCCCTTTCCATACTGGTAGTAAAAAGCTTTAATAAGTTTACAGCTCTCAAAATGTAAATCTGAACACTATTGTGGGCTTTGGATTCTGGCAGCATGTGGGTGGCTCATTGTGTGGGTGTCTGCCAACTAAAAGCATAATGTCTATTGTTGCATTATTAGAAAGCTGCCATTAAGGAGATCAGCATACTATCACATTTGCTGGAGCTGAAGCATAAAATTACATGGTCTCCAATTCCTAAACCTGGATGACTATGTCAGAAGGATCACTTAAGTGCTGTAAGCTTAAATAAATGGTATGCAAAAAGCTGCCACTTACCAAATGAGAAGGCTATTTGTCAGAAATGTAAGGAAAGCTTAAATGGTTACTCCCCCTCCATTTAATTATCCTGAAGGAGATCATATTGAAAAAGCTTCCCTCCCCTAAGAACGTGGAATGGTGTTCTTTAAAAAACCCCACATATTTAAGATTGCAGCTCAGAACTATTCTTTTAGAGCACTGGCAATTATTTATAAAGTCTGTGTTCAAATGAAAGCTTTATGGTGTATGTTATATGCTTGACTTCCTCTTTCTGCTTTCAGTTCCAATAAACAATAGTTTCAGAAATAGTATTATAATGGAATAAGTATAGACAGAAGCCCAACTTTCATGACTGGTGCAGCCCAGATAAACCCCATAGCATGCTACATTGCCTGCATTTTACACCAGCTGTGAGCTTTCAGAGCAACCAGCACTGTTGCAATGCAACTTTCCAAACCTAGCCAGGTGTGACACCTTACACTTTCTAGGTGACCTTCTACTCAGCATTTGAAGAATTCTGCCTCAGGGTATAATGAACATGGCATGGCTATCTCAATTTTTTATTCAAATCCAGAACACTTGTAACTTTCAGATGGGGTAAACTCACCATAAGGTGGTATTCTCAATTATTATTTTTTGCATGCTAAATGTTCTATTTAATAATAATAATAATAATAAATTTTATTTATATCCCGCCCTCCCCAGCCAAAGCCAGGCTCAGGGCGGCTAACAACAAACAAATAATCAAACAATCAAATAATCCAACATTCTAAAACATTTCATTTGAAGGCACCCTCACATGGTAAGAGCCAGTACTTACTATGTGAATCACAGAATCACATATCCTGTCCCCTACTAAATATTACATCTTACTGCTTGGAGACATATCTAAATCAATTGCATATTCCCCACCCCAAACAGTAAAATTGCATCATGGTGAAGTTCCCACATCCAAATGTATCATACAATAGGGTTTAAGACAACCTGGTTGACACTTCAGTGTAAAAGTGGTACTGTGAACTACTCTGGTTCAGCATTCCGAAAACATAGAATGATGTTTTGTTCTGCTGGAAGTGCCCCTTACTATAATTGGATGTTTACAATGACAACAGGATACAAAATTCCACCTTACCATATATAATTTGGTTAACTTTGTGCTGGAATAAAGACTTTTATTATGAACTAAACAGCATACTCCAAGTTTTGATTGGCAGATGCAAATAAACCAACAACTTAATAATCAGTGTGTCTTGGGCAAATCCATCACTCTGTAATGTTACTGTGAAACAGAAGCTAGGGTGGACTATGAAGACAGGGACAGGCTTGCTTCTCAGTGAGTGGAATCACCAGGAAGAGGGAACAGATTTAACACCCGTGCAAATAGTGCATCCTTTGTTAATTGCACCCTTCCACTTTCTACCATCTAATTAAATGACTAGCCTTTCCAATTTATTTATTTATTTTTTTAAAAATAGTATGTTTTTCTGGGCAAGTGCCTGTTCAAAGTGGCACACTGTTAAAAGCAACAGAAGATAATTAGAAAAGTAATACATGATTTGAAAACAAAGATAAAAGAACAATAATTTTAAAATTTAAAACTACAATTCAAGCAACCCTTTTTAAAAAAAAAAATCACCCTACCAACAGAGCCATTCTGACTGCTTTCATACTGGGAGAAAACAAAGATATATGACCTTGTCATCAGATCTGATATTTGTCAGTGACTTAAACAAAATAAATATACAGGTTCTTCATATGTTGGTTATTTTGGGTCCATACAATTCAGACACACAGCCTGCATCCAAATCCCTGTAGCAGAACAGCTCATCAGGTTATAGACACAAGTTTGTAACATTGACTTGGCAGCCGCAAACAAAACCAAAAGTGCTTGAAGAACGGTGCTAAGGAATCATTAAACTCATTTTCATTTCCCAGGTCTACAATAAATATAGGATAATTGTATCAACAAAGAATATGCTGTGTTGGGATCTGCTGCATCCATAAAACTCAATGATGAAGATTTAATATTTATTATGGTTGTTGTTGTTGTTGTTATTATTATTATTGGGCACACTTACCTTCTGCTGAGAGCAGAGGCAGCACCTCTGTGCTCTGAATACAATGTAAGCTGCAGGAAATTGTATTTCATTTACCTGTGCCTTAAGTGTTGCCTCAACATATTCCCCCCTTTTTTACTTTCTGTCCAAAACTAAACATTTTGTGTAATATTCATGCATTTGTAAGTCACAGTACATTTGCAAGCATTTTTTAAAAGATGAAAATCAAGATGTGTGCATTACTGGGTTAACGGATACGAAGAATTCAGGGGTGTGTGTGTGTGTGTGTGTGTGTGCGCTTTAAGAGGGCAAACCATTCTTTCTGTGTCATGAATATCTGTTAGATGTGTGCTAAGAAAGCAGGATGGCACTTTGCCTGCAATGCGTTGCATACCAGAACTGCCACGGTTGCCTGGCAACTGAACAGTATTTTCAGGCAAGATAAGTCTGAGTGAACATATAGGGATGCATATAGCAAAGGAGACACAGGCAAGTCTGGTGGCAAATGTGTGGTGCATTCGTTGAGTTTTCCATACTCCTATGTTGGAGTTTATCATTACTATTATTGGGCTACTTTTTTACAGTCATAAAGCTAGACATTTACAATGTTATCATAGAAAATTATATTGCAGTCAACTTTCATGCTTTGCAAAAATATCAAGCTAAGCTAGTCGTTTCCTTGCTAAAAAGAAAACTGCCTGATGTCTGATATAAGACAAAAGTAGCATAATCTGCAAAGGTCTTTATGTGTGCACACAAGTCTACTGTACATGCAAAGTCTATATTTTGAGACCCATTAACAGCTGGTGCATGTGTTTTTGTCACCCATCTCTTTACATTGCTCCACATCACAAATTATTTTGTAGATACAGTGTGGGACATGTACACAGTTCTCCAAGAAGTATATATAATTTCTGGCTGAGCAAATGTGCACAGGTAGCATAATTTAGCAGAAATGTTTTGAATTTACTGAAAATGAAAGAGGACTGGGGGTGGGGGGAAAGGCAGTAAGGAGCACATTATTATAGTTCAGACACGAGACCATAAAAATCAAGCTAGGTACATTTGTACATTTCTAGGGCCAGTTCATTCTCCTTGAAGAAGGAGCAAATGTCTACGCAGACCAGGCAGCTGTGCATACAATATTATGCATGAGCACTGACATCAAGCATTACCTTGTGCTTTGTTAAGCAGTTCACAGAACTCCCTGATGATAATTCAGAGGAGTTACCTGTTCAGCAGTAATCCTGACCCCTGAATTTGCCAGAACTAGACTCAGTGTTAACAAATTATCCAGTGAGGATGGGGAGCGGTAGCCAAACTCTGAACCTTCAACTGTCATTTCAGACCCTCCGACAGAGGAGCCTAAACTGGCCCAAAAGCAATTTCCTCTCCTAGACATCTTCAGAAAAAAAGAGGTACAATACATGTCTGTTCAGTGATGTCACAGCATTTGCATTGGGAGAAAAGTTGGTGGTTCTTTTTTCTTATTTTCTTTTTTTATGCTCAATTAAGTTGCAAACATTATAAAAAAATGTGCGAGGAATCGGTGGCC